TTGGTTCCCCTTGGCAGAACCTGCGATAACTACTAAACAGGACACAAGGATTTCAGGACTGGTGGCTGGTGGGATGCACACCTGGAGCAGTCAGTAAGGTCAAAGACAGATCCTCCATCTCTGCAGACAGGATGGAGCCAGGAAGCCATCTGAAAAGGAAGGCTGAGCAGAGCAGTGGTGGTGCATGACTTTAATCCCAGCACTTGGGAGGCAGAGACAGGTGGATCTCTGTGAGTTCGAGGCCAGCCTGGTCTGCAGAGCAAGTTCCAGGACGGGCTCTATAGCTACAGAGAAACACTGTCTCAAAGAACAAAACAAACAACAACAAAAAAAAAATTGAAGGCTGACCGTCACCATGACTGAGAAGCAGTAATAATATCCTATTGTACTTTGTTGTATCAGGCAGCAGGGAGACTCAGTCCAAAACAGCCAATAGCCTGAGATCTCCCCTTAGGGACACCCACTCAGGTAAAGCCAGGGCCTTGACTATGCCTGAAGAAGAGACATTCAGAATGAAGCAAAGTTAGAGAACTGATTAGGTGAAGACAAGGGCAAGTGGATGCTTCCATAAACATCGGCATTCAGAGAGAGAACTTCTTAGGAAAGGACAGAACACGCTCAAGCAAGACAGGCTCAGGAGGAGAGCTGCACTTTGATATTATCTTCACGAAGGCTAGATAAATGATTTTGTAGCTTGTAAGTCATATGACTCAGACTGTAATTTACAAGGTTTGAAGATTAAGCCAAGTTTGATACTCATTTCTCATCTTAAAGAATTACCTTTTGTAGATAGCTCAGCCAGTCACAGACACTTGCCACCAAGCCCAATGACCCGAGTGTGATCTCTGGCACCCACACAGTAGAAGGAAAAACAATTTGTCTCAGACTCCCACATGTGTCGTGGCATATGGACACACTCACACACATATAGACATACACGTATATATGCACACACACACACGTGTATGTACACACATGCACAAAAGAATGTAACAACGTTTCTTTAAAAGGAATGATCTTTTGTAAATTAAATTGTAATTTGTAAAATAAAGTGTGGATTTGTAAGGTGTTACTTGGATTTAGAGATGAGAGAAGGGTAAAACTGTAGTGGGATGCCGAGCTACACCATCTCGTGAAAGTATTCCTAACTATACTCTGAGAACCACCTGGGGTAAACTGGTCTCTGGTCACGTAGCCATAAATTCCTCAAGCAAACTGGTCTGTGAACCAGCCGTAAATCCTTACACGAGGTGTCCCTGACTCGAGGATGAGAATGGCCTGATCACTATAAAGGCTCACCTGCTGCAGATGTCCACAGCGGCCTCTCCGTGAATGTCACAGTTGTGGTTCCTGAGTTTGAAAACAAACCAACTGGAGGTGGCGGTTGCTTCCCACTCCTGGCCTGGGACAGCCTTGCTGGCTGTGACTAAAGGCTCATCTACTCCGACTTATCCAGAACTCTAAGGTTTTTTCTGCAGGTATCCCATAGCAAAACTCAAGGCTACAAATATTCTGGCCCCGGTAAGTACAGTCTGTTGCTTTAACAACCTTGTTAGAGGTGCAGGAAAATAGACACCCTGTCTTCGGACAGCTTAGATCTTATCACAATAATTGAGTTACTGAGTCGGGACTGCTTTTCTGTATCCTTGTATTTGTTCCTCATCCCCAGCTCTTGTTATTTGTGGTTTTTCACTTTAAGACGTCAGGATGGCTACAGTCAACCACTGTGGCTTTGCTGTCTGTTTTGTGGCTTTTCTGTTTAAAGACACCTTTATTGCATACGCATTATTGATCAAGCCACATTGAATGCATAGCCACCAGCACAAGAGGTCCAATCAGAATAAAGCTCATTATATACAAGTGATGTTCTCCAAAGGATATCACTGCCTCTCTGCACATAGAAATGCAAGGTGGTGCTACAGCACTGGGCTGAGAGCCACTTAAATCTAATTTTTATTTTATATGTACAGAAACTTTGCCTGCGTGTGTGTGTGCACCATTTGCATGCCTGGTGACTGCGGAGGCCGGAAGGTGGCACTGGGTCCCCTGAAACTACAGTTACAGACACTTGTCAGCTGCCATGGGGATACTGGAAATCCAACCCAGGTTCTCCTAAGTGCTGAACCATTTCTCCAGTCCCCTGAGGGCCATTTGAAAATATATACTAAGGGGTCAGGAAGATATTCAGTGTTTAAAGGCACTTGCCACCAAACCTGACAACCTGAGTTCAATCCCTGCAAGCCACAAGTTGACCTTTGACCTTTGTGTGAGCACTTACACATGAATATATGAAATAAATGAATGAATAAATAAGCTGGAGAGATGGCTCAGAGGGTAAGAACACGGGCTGCTCTTCCAGAGGACACAGGTTCTATTCCACATGGCACCCACACGGCAACTCACAACTGCCCATAACTCTAGTTCTAGAGAACCAATGCCTCTTCTGGCCTCCATGGCTACTGCATGCATCTGGCACATGACATACACACAGGCAAAACCACCATACCCATAAAGATAATAAACAAAAATTTAAAAACAAGTGTCAAAACAAAAATGTGAAATTACCAACAAAATGTAACAAACAGTGGCGTCAAATAAGTCTTCAAAGGGGCACTTGCTCCCAAAATCAGACAAGAAGCCAGTGTTTCACCCTTCAGCATTATCTGGGAGTATGTGCAATAGGTAATTAAACCGTTGCCGCTCAGTCCGCCCCAGGCACAAATGACCTCAAAAATGCCAAATCAATCTCCGAGTTACAACACAATTTAGACAGCTGGGTGTATCTGTAAGTGTAAAATGTACAAACAATGAGGAGCCATTGAACTAGGTTCCAGAGCTTGGCAAAGCCCCGGGGAAGCCTGGCAGGAAAACAGCCATCCGCCCTCAGTGTGAATTTATTACCGCCAGGCCTCCCAGCCTAGGATGGCAGAAGATGTCCCTGGCAGCCACAGAGACCTCGAGGGATAGCTCTGGGGAGCTATACAATCACTGAAATTGTACGTCGATTTTTATGGCTAGGAGCCACAGACTCTCAAGGAGATTGCGGACATCACAAAGATTAAGAATCAGCTCAATGAGTTAATTTCCCCCAAACTTGACTGGGCCTCGTTTTTTAGGGAGTGCGCAAAGTGACCTAAATTGTGACTTATGAAATCACTGGCCTCTCCGAGACTAGCTGGTGCTGGACCCCACACTAAGTAGACTCTGCTGGCATTTGAGGGGCTGCTTGCAGCAAGGCAGGCATTTGTAAAATGAGGGTCTCAGTCACTTAGAAGGGGATTGGGAACCACAGACACACCCTTTATACAACCTGACCCAATCAACCCTGGCAGTCAGGAAATCCTACTTAGCAAGTGAAGGTATCCGAGAGAGAAACATGCTCTTCTCTTTGGCTGTCAGACTACCATCCCCAAGGAACTAGAATGTCCTCAGAAATCCCAAGCAGTGGGAGGAGGGGAAGGATAGAACCTGGAGCCAGCCAGAGGAGGAATTACCTCTCAGGAAGAAAAGTCACAGTTCTGACAACTGTAGCCAGGCCAGGAGACCATGTATAACTTGTAAAGCACAGGACCACACCTTGACCAGGATGTCATAGTTCCGCACGTCTCTTGCTCTCTGTTTACATCTGAGGCTCATGGACTTGGGGGCCGCTGGGTCTCTTTGTCTTCTTCCCAACCCAGCTTCACTGAATGTATCTCCTGTTAGATCTCACGGGCAAGCTATATATCCAGAAATGAACTCAAGGTGGACTATAGAAAGATTTCTGGAAGCTAAGTAAAAGCTAGCAACTCCTCAGGAACTTGTGAAATGGGTTTTCAGCACCCCAAAAGGAGTCATTTCCCCTGCCTCTGGCAGAAGGGACATTCGAGTTACCCATGGTGTCTATCTGCGTGACAAAGTGCATGCTGGAGGTCAGGACCCTCAGCATCGCAAGCCTGTGCTATACATTTCAAAGTTTATACTAGCGTCCAGGCCCTTGCCTTCCTCCATCTATTCCTCCTTGTAAGCCACACGATTTGTCCACCCCATTCATTCAATCTTCTGTCTGCTTTCGTTAGGGTATTCATTGGCTGTGAAGAGACACCATGGCCACAGCAACTCTTACAAAGAAAACATTTAATTGGGGTGGCTCGCTTACAGGTTCAGAAGTTCAGCCCATGATCATCACGATGGGGAGCATGGCAGCATGCTGGCAGATACAGTGTTAGAGCTGAGAGTCCTACATCTTGAAGGAGACAAGGAAATCAACTGGAAGTCACACTGAGGGAAGCTTGAGTAAGAGACCTCAAAGCACACCTCCAGAGTGACACACTTCCTCCAGGAAGGCCACACCTCCTAATAGTGCCACTCCATTTGGGGGTCATTTTCTTTCAAGCCACCACACCATCTACCTTCCTGCCTGCCTACCATCCATCACTACCCTCTTGCTCTCTCACTATCGCCACTATTCTTTCCCACTCCCCAGCTTCCCTGGACCTGGCCATTCCCAGACCACCTCTTTCTCTCTGCTCTGGACTTTTCCAGATGTCACTAGAATATGTTCTATCTCTTATTCACAATAAGAACCTTCCTGCTAACAATGAAGCCGTCATGTTGGCAGTTTCTTCCCTGGCCATGCCCTTGTGTACATCTAGGTACGGATACTATTTTAAAAATGTTGTATGTTGCTTCCATACAGAAGCTGGCTCTGGTGTTGGGTTTTGGCCTGCTCTCTCCAGACCCAAGCATGCTTATTTAAAAGGTTTCCTCCAAAGTCTCTATCCTGGGTCAGGTGGGCCACCTGGTTTCTGTGACAGGGAGAAAGAAAAAGGGAACCAGCCCAGAAAAGGCTCTATATGCTTCAAACAGTAAAACTATTTTTTTTTTTTACTAGCATCTTATTTTTGTGAAAACTCTCCAGGCCCCCTCACCCTTAGAGTCTCTAATTACCCTGTTATGTAATACCCCACCAGGAATCTAAGCGAGGTTTGATGAAACAGCTGTCACTCCAAAGTACCACTCCAGTTTCTCTCTCTCTCATCTTCCACCGTACTCTGGAAATGCTGGACGTCAGATGGGCTCCAGAATTTTTCCAGATGAATCCAACTGCCACCCATATCTCAAATGGGAAGGGCTTTCCATAGTCTGCCTCCCGGCTGGTTTGAAGACCCCGTCTATGATGTCCGGGCGGGCAAAACCAGTTTCTGATTAAGTAGATAGTAGGAAATGCTGGGCAGAGGAGTGCCGCGACGATAAGTTCTGAGAGCATGGCCTAGGGAAGTATCCATTTGTCTTCATGGAAAACACTGTCATCTTCAGGGTAAGCAAAACAGATGTCGTAGGCAGGGGGTGGAGTAGTGGGCTCCAATTTGGGGGCCACCCTCAAGCTTTGCAGATTGGGAGCAATGGATGCAACTCGTGGGCCCCTAAGTCGAAGAGCTCCTCCAGGATTTCCTCTGTGAGACATTGTCCCCTCCGAGCCCACTCGTCTCTTCAGCCTTCCTGGGCTGGGCCTCTCTAGCTGGCTAGGCTGCGCCCCCTCAATTCCTGGGGCTATAATGACACTGCTGTAAGGGGGTGGTTGCTCCAGCTCTTGGAGGTGTGTTTCTGAGCCCATCACTACGGCCTGTTCATAGGTTGGTACCTCAAAAGCCTCACTGACCTGTGCATTGCCTGAGGCCTCTGAATTCTCAGTCTGCCTTGAGCTCTGCCTAGATTGGAGGCTCCGTTCCACCACACAGGACAGGAGGCAGGCAAGAAAGCAGAAGCCAGCCAAGCAGAGGAAGAAATAAGCAAAAGGAGCAATGTTAGGCTGTATGACCAGTAAAGCCAGCCCCAGAAGGAGCGAGGCGCTGCTCAGGAAGAGAAATGACTGCTTCAGTTTCTCCCACAACTGCCTTGGCACCATGGTCCCTCCCAGGGCACCTCTCAGCCTGACTTTCGCTGTCTGCCACAGTTGAGTCAACCCATGCTCTGGATGGAGGACAATGTGAACCAAGACACAACAAGGCCACAGGGACACCAACTACGAGAGAAAAAAAATCTTAGAAAGGCCTAAGGCAACCACCAGAAGTTCTAATAACTTTCCACACCCCAAGTAGTCCCGTCCCAGGCCTCTTCCCTCAAGTCTTTAAGCTCTGATTTCAAGTTTCCTGTCAGCACAGAGGCTGGGAGGTGCGTGGGAAGGGGACACCTTTTCTCCGAGGAAATAGCAACAGTCAATCTCAAGACAGCTCCCATCGGCTAGACTCCCTGCCACTTTCCTGAGTTCGGTGTAGCAAGAAACAGTAAAACTATTAAAAAAAAAAAAACAACAAAAAACAACTAACAGCAAACCTATTTAAAAAAGTAAACTATTTCCAACAGGGATTACTGCTGCTAATCTCATGACCCCTTCTAGGTTTTGTTTCCGATCTCCAAAAATAACCAAGTCTAATCACAGACGTTTAGCCTTCTGGATACCCCTCTCCCCACCCTTGTGTGCATCTTCTTCATCCGGTTTTCCCTACAGCTTGTCTCTGCAATTGCTGTATTGAGGAAGGTGGCCCCATTTATCAGGGCTACCAGAACCCAGGCTTGGCTCTATTTAATCCCATTTGTCCTTGATGGCCTCCATTGCAGCTATAGCAAGTACACATGACAGCGGCTTAAAATGTCACAAACACACGGTCTTGCAAAGCTGAAGATCAGCATCCGGCAGTGGGACTCGCTACTTGATCTGCAGGACCTCTCTTTCCTGAAGCTTTTGGAGCCAGTCTTGGGGCTTTCCTTGGCTCTCAGTTTCTTCGTCTCTCTTTCAATCCAGCACAACAGAGGCATCAACTTCCATTTCATCTTCCCAGCTCATTCTGTCTCCTCCTCTTCTGGCTGCTTCTTCCAGCTTTTTTTTTTTTTGATTTATTTTTATTTTATGTTCACTGGTGTTTTGTCATGGGTGTCAGATCCCATGGAACTCAAATTATAGACAGTTGTGAGCTGCCATGTGGGTGCAGGAATTGAACTCACGTCCTCTGGAAAAACAGGCAATGGTCTTAACCACTGAGCCATCTCTTCAGCCCCCTCTTCCAGCTTTTAAGAGCTACCCAGATGGCTGCCCACATCCACAAAGGTCCCCAATCTGATCTGAACAGTCCTACAGAGACATTGGCCTACAACCGCCACCAGTAAGGCATAGGATATCTCACATGTACAGACTCGGGGTTAGCATGAGGATTTCTGCCACCCTGGTTGTTAGGGTCAGAGTCTGGGCCCTGGCCGCTCTAACGACCTGTCCTCAAATGGCCAATTCAAGAAATAAGTAATAGTAAAAACTATTCAATGTGGCCACACTGGAAAGAAGAACAAAGAGTCTAGGGACTCCTCAGATTCATGTTATGGATCCAACACGAGGTTTAAGGGTAAACAGAGCAGGAAGGTACATACGACTCACTAGTTCTGATCAAAGTCTGGTCCCACGCTTCAGTGATCTATCACTGCCTGCTGCCAAGGGGCTGACATTTGTCAGAACTGTGTGAAACTTCTAAGAGACACCTTCCTCTGGTTGGCACCAGACTCCAACTTTTCCTTGTTCTAACATGACAATCCTCGGGAAATTCCAGTTTCTGAGGTCTATTGTTCCAATAGTCAGCTGGTTAAGGGAGGCACGGGTCTCCTCTCTTTAGAACACCCTCATTTCAGACAGCAACAGTCACACTCCTTCAGGGCCCGCACAGGGACACAAACAGTGTGCTCCAGAATCTTCTTCCTGCCTCTGCTGCACATTCACGAAAGGGGTGTGGTGGTAGAGGGCACACTCTTCATCCAGAGTGCTCCCTGGTAAAGAGTGGGTATTGTCATGAGTCTAAGGGGTCTCCAGGAAAGGCCTGGCTCCTGCTCTGGAGTTGTGGAACACAGTTGTGGGGGCCCGACCTGCAGTGCATAGCTCTGGCTACACCCACTGTCCTTCCAGGTTCTAGGTGTAGCCAGGACGGGGACAAGGAGGAGAAAGGAATGGCTCTCGTCAGAGAAGCGCAATGAAATAATCCTGCCACCAGCAACAAGGCGTTCAACTCCAGCAGCTTTACAGCCTCCGACACGGACTGAGTGTCATCCGGCCCTCACTTTGCTCACCATGAAACAAAGAAGCCTTTGTGCATTCATTCAGCTCCACAAATAAACCCAAGCAGATCGAACAAAGGGCAGGAAACTGCGAGACCAAGCAATAGGGTCCGGTCTATCCTTCAGCGGGTGGGAAGGTGACACCAGGAGACCTGTGGCCCTGTGGACTCAGCATCAGACCCGGGCTGGGAAGGTGAGCCCAACAAGCATGCCTTGACACAGCCTTCTGCTAATAGTTTTTAAACTAACAAACAAAACTCAACAGGGCTGCCTTGTCCCATTCAACTCCTGTAAATTATTGACTCCCCACTCAAAACAGCTTAATCGCCGCCGACTTATCGCTGTGACAGCTCTAAACAGGTCTGACCTCTGTGGATATGACCATTATATGTGAAGCCCCGACTTTCCCAGAAACAACAAACACATCCCCTCTCATGGGTGAGGGAACGAAAGTTAATTAAGCCAAGGTGAGTCCAGGGTCTTCCAGGGGAGCTTCATCAGCTCCCAGTGGCTGCTGCCAACCATCTTGGACGTTTCTGGGCTTCAGCTACTCTCTGCCTCACCTGTCTTCTGCCTACATGCCCTGTCCTACTAAGTCACATGAATGCTGTTACATGCAGTTACACTGGACCATGGGCTCAACCCACTCCAACATGACCTCATGTACCCTGTGTCCACAGAGAGCTGTTGTGGTCTGTGTTGGTGCTTTAGTCTTGGAGACTAAAGCTGTTGGTGCTATCAGGAGGGGCTAAGTGGGACCCTGAGAAGGAGGAGTCTCATTGCTATCAAACTTGGAGATTGCAGCCTGAGCCTCAAGTCAGGCTTGGCCACCCATCATCAATAAACTGATTAAAAGAGTCATTTAAGAGTGGAAAGTAGAAAGCAGGTTTATTTAAAAACTATTTTGGGACAAAGAGATCTAGTGACCCCCATCCCCCAAAAAATCCCATCTGAATCTCATTTTAGGGGTCCCAAAATGAGAGTGCAGTTTAAATAAGGGACTGGGGCTCTGCACATCTGAGAGGTCTTGGTCAAGGTGTGGTCCTGCCCAGCCCCAGCGCATCATTGTCAGGCTTCAGTCTCCTCCTGAAGAGCGCTCAGACAAGTTGTTAAGCCTGTGTGACATATCTTTCGGGGAGGCAAGCCCCTCCACACCCCACACCCCACATACACTCTTTTCTTCTCCCCGCGTGAGATTCCCACCCTTTGGAGTCCACTGTTTCAGTAACTGGACGATCAGACTGAGAGGCGTAAGTGTCTCTAGAACATCTTCATTGCTGCCAGGCCAGTTAGACTATGAACTAAGCAGCTGGCTTCCACCACATGCTCCATCCATGATGTTCTGCCCGAGAGCAATGGAATGAAGCCAGATGGGCTGAAACCCCTAAAGGTACGTGCCCAGGAAAAACCATCCCTTCTTGCGCTGATTCTTTTGGGTATTTTGTCATGGCGGCACAAGGATGACTAACACAGGTCTCATTGGGAAGTACTGGAGCCTAGGACTCCAACGTATCTTTTAGGAGCCACTGCTCAGTCCCTATACTCGGTAACCTTCATCCTTGGGGAGCCGAGTCCTTTAAAGCTTAGATCCTCTCTTCCCAGAATGGCTCTCCACGAAGTCTTTCCTCAATGTCTCCACACTGCCTCCATGTATCCCACCTCCACAGTGCAACAGCCTCGCTGCCCTGGCTACCCAATGCCTGGACACTGAAGCCAGATCTCTCAGCACCTTGTCCACAATTCATTACATGGCCTTCTTGTCACCAAGTCACTCCATTTTCCTAAGAGAGCTGATGGAAAACACAGCTTTTTCTCTAGAACATACAGACATTCCAAGTGTCTACAAATACCAGATAGGTAATGAACGAACAGAGCTACTGAATGAGGCTGTACATGGCAGAGACCAAGTCTCCCCTTGGTAAGGACAGATTGACAATTGCAGCCAGTGACTAACAGCTGGGTATATCAACCGGACTCTGCAAAGATGAGAATTTTCCAGAGAAACAGGGCATTCCGAGTGTTCGGTGTTGGCGACCGACCTCCATTTATTTTAAGCAGCCATGGTTAAGTGCACACACCTGCAGGCTGCCCATCCACAATGTCCGCCTTTCCTTACCTAATGTCTCAAGAACAGATGGAATACTCAGCTTTCCATGCCTTCTGTCAATTTCTCTATAGGTTTTTCCACATGGGAATACTTTGCTTCCCCGACCTGGCCACAAACAACCCGTCTGTTGAGGGTTAACCTCTACTCTCTCAGCCCTCATCCTCTCATTTGAATACTCAATGGACCCGCGCCGGAGAGCCAAATGACTGTGTCCGGTGGGTTCTAGGCGAAGGGGCAGTGAGCCAGCGAAGATCATCTGTCCTGGGGTGAACCTGAGCCATGCATGTGTCGGGAGCCAAGAAGGAACCTGAGTGATGGATGGTGAGGGCGGACTTGGTAGAGAGAAAAGCCCGGGGGCTGTGGGCATTGCACGGGCACAGCAGAAGGGGCGGAGACTACCCAGTGCCAACATGGACAGACAGCTGACTAAGCACAGGGTGGATCAGTGGTTCCCAACCTGTGGGGAGCGACCCCTTTGGGGGCTGAATGACCCCTTCAAAGGGGTCACCTAAGACCATTGGAAATATCAAATATTGACATTATGACGTATAACAGTAGCAAAATTACAGTTATGGAGTAGCAACAAAAATAACTTTAGGTTGGGGGTCAGCACAGCGTGAGGAACTGAGTTCAAGGGTCATGGCGATAGGAAGGTTGAGAGCCACTGCCCTAGATAAACACAAGGGGAGGCGGAAAAGTTAAACAGGAAGTGGGGAATGTAAGTGGGAAAGACATGAAACCTTAATTCGGCCTGAAATAATTTCACTATGAAGGCAGCCTTTGAACACAGATCTGACGGGGTGAGGGAGGTGACCCAAGAGAGAAAATGGAGGAGCGCAACAGGCTAAGACAAG